GGGTAATTTCTTTTTCAGATGTTTCTTCTTTGTCTAGTCTGCAGTGTTTTGCCTGGTGGCCTTCCTCATTGCAGATGAAGCATTTGGAGTGGCCAGTGGTGAAGTATATATGCTTCGATGTGTCTCCCCTGGAGAGAGTAATCGCGGGAAGCAGCTTAGTTTCATCCTCCGATTTGATGTAGACTTGCCTTCTGAGGCAAGAAATATGCGCCAGATCAGGGTCGTCCACATTAATTTTGAGGTGGCTGATTCTTGAGACCGGTATGATGCCCATTTTCCTTAGAGAGTCTAAAAGTGCTGAGTCGGGAATGACAGGAGGGATGTTCGAAATTACCACCCTTTTGGTGGCAGCTTTGAGTGGACGGATGCTGACTGCAGTGTCTTTCACCCGCACCTCCTTGACAGAAGACCACAGGTACTCGGCTGATTCAGCACTGTCCAGGTACACACATATTCTGCGGTTGGAGATTCGTGAGGCATATCTCATCTTGCTGGGGTCGATATGACTTTTTAAGCTTTTTAGGTATTCTGTGTAATTTACTCCGTCGATAGCATCCATAACGATGGCCATATCGTCGGTAAACGTGATTTCTGTAGCTTTGGCATAGGATTTCCTAGTGTTATTCTGTGGATTGTTTATATTTACGTTCGACAGCGAGGCGGCCGAGTTTGAGCTGTTGACCAGGGCTTGTTTTCTTATGTTGGAAAGCCATATATTGTTATTATGAGAAGCCATGGTGGTAGCAGGCCTCTAGCTTTTCTAAGCCACGAGATTCTCTTCTAATGGCTCTTTTTTCTTGCTCATAAAGAGCGCGATGACACACGACACTTGGCACTTTGCTACTCGTTGAAGTGTAATTTGGGGTAAGCACTACTTTCGATTACAATGGTTGGTTTTAGTACACAAGCTATACACTCCTATTTCACATATGAAGCTGATCAGCTGTAAACACAGACACGTCTTGCTCTGACGAGAGTTCAGACGCGAATCACGCATGCACACACACGATAACGTACACACGCACCACATGCACGCACACGTACACATACCCACACACACATACACGCGCACGCACACCCACACACACGCTGTAAAAAAAAAAATCACGCACGCATGCACACATGCACACATACATTGCACATGCACACATACCTTGCACACGCGCATACCCGCACAAACACATACCCACACACACACACACACCGGTAAATGAAAAAACACATGATTCACTTTCACTTTTTTTACTTCAACATTTATTATCATCACTTCTTTTATAACACTTTTTTAAATTGAGACAAATGTTTTCACAGGCGTAGAAGTGCCGCCGCTACGGCATCCTTGCTTTTGGCATATGTAATGCCGTACCTGTTAAATAAAAAAAGAATTGTCATTAGTATGTCAATTTAAATAAAAAAGAAAAAAAAAACTTACCTATCGAAATACGCCCGGCAACGCGAGCGTATCTCATTCTCCTTTTGACTTAATTTTACATGGTCCAAGTGACCAGCCAGCACTTCGGGGCTAAAGTTCGCAACGAACTCTACCCCATGCCTGTAACAGATGAATAATATTATATATTGATTTCAATAATTATTAAAATAAAAACAATGAAAAGTACCTTATTTTGTAAGCTCTCCTGAGCCTGTTCATTTCTTTTTGTAGGAAAAGAATTGTCTGGCGCTCCTTTTGAGCAGCCACGCACCCCTCGATGAATTCGGAGGGGTACATACCCTCCTGTAAAATAAATAAAATGTTAATTTTTTACGAACAAAGAAATTAATAACGTTAAATAAGGCACTTACTCCGCCGTTATAAACGCGCAGGCTTAACCCATGCGCGTCAACGTACGTTGTGTAATAGCTATATTGATCCATGTTTTCTCTGCGGTAGTTCGAGAATAAATGAGCTACGAAATATTTTTCGACGACTCGAAAATCCTCGACAAAGGCACATAAAGCACGACGCTGGTTTATTAAAAGACGCCGTTGCACGAAATCGTAAAATCTCGCCTGAGGAAAAAATGAATATGATACTTACTGCAGACCCATGTACGTATAAGGAGCCATATCGTAAAAAACGGTGGTCTGGTCGCTAAGATATACTTAGCCATAGCTGCATTGGAAAAAACCGTTGAGTATCGTGGACTTGAAAAACTGTTGGCCATGTATGTTTTGTTACGCTGATAACTTGCAAATGTAAATATCATAGAAAGCATCAAATTAACATAGGGATCAAGCATCGAATTATAAGAAACGGAGGAGTCGATTTGCAAGAGAACGCCGGATAGCAAAACGTGCAAGCGGAACTGTAAATATTAAGTTTCGAGTTCGTATGAGAAATAAATAATATGCGAATTTGATACATGTAGGATAAAATTTGCACGATACAGACTTAGGCTTGGAGAGGGTTTTTGCGCGATAACGATTCTCCTTGTATTATAAATAGCGTTTTTACCCATGAGGACGTCAGTATTGTGCAGCACCTCTGTAGCTGAACTCTGCATTTTTTGTTCTTTAAAAATGTGCGCGTCAAACCATTCCGAGTTTAAACGAGCTGTTTTAACCATTGCTCATTATTTAAATAACGGTACAGACGAGCTGCGTAGGCGAGTGTCCGCCATGAGTGAAAATCAATTGAAAAGAGAAATTACACGCCTGATTTCGCTGTGCGGTGTGCGAAAGATCGTGAAAATATATAATAAATTTTTTAAAAGGTCCGATTCTGTGCTCGTTGTATTCTACAATTTTTTGAAGCGGCGAGGTTTGATACACCTGCATCACGCCAATGCACTAAGAGACGATTACATCTCGCGTATCGGTAAGTAAATTTTTTTTTTATTGCTGAATATTCGAGTAAATATTTCATCATCGAATTCACTCGATTAAAGGAGAAGATGTCGACCCCGGCAGAGCTATAAGGATTTTTTCCAGTGCGCAAAGGAATATCGAAAGTGAGTTTAAAATTATTGTTTCAGCGTAGTTTTGTATATCTGTTTACGCTCGCTAACGACACGTTTTATTAATTAGACGCCGATCATCAAGAACCCTCGACAAGCCGGCAAGCAGGTGGTTCGACAAGCCAGCAAGTAGGCGGCTCGGGCAATCGACGTTTCGCAATCGAGGGAGAATCGGAAGTTTTCTCGAGGAGATTTCAAGCGCGAACGAAGGAAATAGCGATAAAAGTCCTTCCACCTGCAAAAGACTGCGACATTTTGTCTTGGCTCGAACTCGCTGTAAAGGATATTTTTACGTATGTTACTGGGCCGAGTGCATCGGAAAATTCTCGCGTAGGCATCAGTATAAGTAGCAGACATCTTTTAAATGGTAGCGCAGGTCTCTCCATACGACCGTTGAAAAATTTGGTGGTGAAAGATCTTGTTGAATTGATCATGAGTCTGACACAGTCCAATACATCGTTTTACGTGGACGAGTCCTTCAATTTGAACGCTACTTTCATCGATGTACCTCACGGATACGGGCGTAAAAGACAGCCGATGGATATAAATACAGCCACCAAGCGCTCTATCGTGGCGATAAATAACGACGACGATCTCTGTCTGCCAAGAGCTCTGGTCGTGGGCGAAGCATATATAAAGTTTCGATCGAATATAACTAGCGAAGCGCAGAAAGAGTGGAGCTGTGCGCGAGATGCGCGCCGTAGTCTACAACGCGATTTAGCCCTGCAGCTTATGCGAGACGCTGGCGTTACCATAGCCGGGCGCGGAGGTGGTTACGAAGAACTCGTAAAATTTCAACGATATTACGACGAGAAGCAAATTAGTATCGTGGCTTACGAAAAAATTACTTACGGTCAGGGGGCTGAAGCATTTTTCGACGGAAGAAAATCGAGCAACGATAAGATAATATATCTCTTGTACGACGGTCGCAAGAAACATTTCGACGCTATTATTAATCCTGTTGGGGTAGTGAAAGATCCGTATTTTTGCACCTTTTGTAACGTTCGCTATAGGAATATAAATTCTCATGTTTGCGATAAAATTTGCGACGCGTGCTTCCAGCAAGGAAAATGCGATTCGACCGCTGAAAAAATATTATGCGATAAATGCTATCGCGGCTTTTACGGTGCAAATTGTCTGGCCAAGCATACGGGCAAGGCGAAAGGTAGTAAATATTCGTTGTGCGAGCTCGTTAAAATCTGCCAAAAATGTTTCGCAGTTATCAATACTCAACGTGGCTTGCACGAGTGCGGTCTTCATTACTGCGAGCACTGCAGAACGAAACATAGTCCGAACGAATTGTGTTTTATGCAACCGATAAAGGAGTCCGCGCAAGGCAATCCTAAATACCTGTATATTTTCTTCGATTTCGAGACTCGTCAAGATTCAGCGTACAAAAACCACGCCTCTACGACAGAGCATATCCCCACTTTGTGCGTATGTCATCAAGTCTGCACGGAATGCATGCAAGATGACGATATGAAAAACGTATGCGGCACTTGCGGTATTCGCGAGTACGTCTTTAAAATCGACCCGGTTGGTCAGCTACTGGATATCGCTATACGGGAGAAGACAAAATTTAAAAAAATCCTGTGCGTTTCGCACAATGGAAGTCGTTACGATACACAGATGGTTTTTAGGCGTCTAGTAGAGCAATCAAATTTAAAACGAGCGCCGAACGTTATTTTGAACGGACGTAATATAATTTTGTTACAGTGCGGGCGCACCGTGTTTATCGATAGCTTGAATTACTTTCACATGAAACTATCGGCTCTACCTCGTGCCTTTGGGCTGCCGGAAAGCAGTAAAAAAGGTTATTTTCCGCACTTCTTCAATACCCTGGAAAATAAAGAATACATAGGGCCGATGCCTGCACCCTCGTTCTACGGGCCCGATACAATGACGAGTAGCGAGAGAGAAAAGTTTTTCGCTTGGTACGAAACAGCCCGCACGCAGATTTTTGATATACGTAGAGAAGAAATCGAATACTGTCGGATGGACGTGGAAATATTGCGGCGAGCCTGTCTGGAATTTCGCAAAATAATGATCGATCTCGCGGAAGTCGATCCGTTCGTGCAAGCCACAACGATTGCTTCGGCCTGCTCTTACATGTTTAGAAAAAAATTTTTAAAAGAAAACACAGTAGCTCTGATCCCCTCCAACGGGTACAGACGTAGCGATACGCACTCGCAGATCGCTATCGAATGGTTGCTTCTTTGCGAGCACGAGCTCGGGCGCGAAATCATCCATGCGGGGCGTTCGCGCGAATACTGTCTTATAGAGGGATATCGGGTGGATGGATATCTAGGTCCGTCCGAGGACAACCCTAGAGGCATCGTCTTCGAGTTTCAAGGCTGTTTTTACCATGCGTGCCTGAAATGTTATCCGACCGGCCGCGACAGAGTCATGTTCGGTAATCGCACGCTCAACGAATCTTACGAGCGGACAAAAGTCAAAATCGAGCGCTTAAAATCGCTCGGTTACACGGTGCGCTCAATTTGGGAATGCGAATTTGAAAAAATTAAGCAAAACGTCGCTGGTGTCGCGGAGATCATTAACAGGCATCCCCTTATTTCCAAAATAAAGATAGATCCGCGCGATGCTTTTTTCGGCGGTAGAACCGAGAATTTTGTAACTCATTACGACGTCAAGCCGGGCGAAAAGATAAGATACATAGACGTTTGCTCTCTCTATCCGTACGTATGCAAATACGGTAAATACCCCCGTGGGCACCCCACGATATACGTGGGCGAAGAATGTGCGCAATTAACGGGCGACGACGCGAATAATCTGTCGAACGTCGAAGGGCTCGTAAAGTGTAAAATTCTCCCTCCCCGAGATTTGTACATGCCCGTCATACCGGTCAAAATGAATTCGCGCCTCATGTTTGCGCTCTGCAGAAGCTGCTGCGCCGAGTCGATAAAGGGCGACTGTCCTCACGAAGACGTAGAAGATCGCGCATTTGTAGGTACTTGGGTCGCCGATGAATTGCGTAAGGCCATTCAAAAGGGTTACAAAATTTTGAACTTGTACGTTGTATGGCAGTACGAAATTATTCAATACGATGAAAGTGAAAATTCAAAGGGCCTTTTTACAGAGTACATCGATACGTTTTTAAAATTTAAACAAGAGGCGAGTGGCTGGCCCGCGTGGTGCGAGAGCGAAAACGACAAAATTCGATATATTTCCGAGTACAAGGCTGCTGAAAATATTTCTCTGGACCCTGATAAGATCGAAAAAAATGCCGCCCTTCGTGCCTTCTCAAAATTAGCTTTAAATTCGTTCTGGGGAAAATTCTCGCAGCGCAGTACGCTTTTCCACACGAGCATCATAAAGACTCGCAAAGATTTGCTCGAGCTATTAACGAGCCCGGACAAAGAGACGCACGATATCGTCTTAGTTTCGGACGAAACGATATACGCGCGGTGGAAGTACATAGAAGAGGCCGAAAACGCGACCTGCTATACAAATGTCGTATTAGCGGCTTATACCACCGCCCAGGCTCGTTTGATTCTTTATCAATATTTGGAAAAATTGGATAGGCGCGTTCTGTACTGCGATACGGACTCCGTAATTTATACCTCTGCAACGGGCGAATACGAGCCTCCGCTTGGTACGGCTCTTGGAGCCATGACCGACGAGCTCGAGTCGTACGGGAAAGATACGTACATCAGATCGTTCGTTTCAGGTGGGCCGAAATTTTACGCGTACGAGGCCGTTACCCCGCACACGGGCGAACTTCATCGATGTTGCAAAATTAAAGGAATCAGTCTCAATCATGAAAATTCCAAAAAAATTAATTACGACAGCGTTAAACGAATGATTTTGAGGATGTACGACGACGGGGATGATTGCGCCGACAACAGCATTACCGTGAATTTTAGAGCTATAAGACGGACAAAGACTCACGATGTTGTATCCGGAGACGAGAGCAAGCGATGCTGCCCCGTTCTGAAAAAGCGACGATTCATCGGTAGCGAGTTTTCGCTACCCTTTGGCTTTGTACGATAAAGACTCACCGACTATGTAATTGCGTTTAGCGATAAAGATATTTTATTGTACGACCCATCTATGTAATTTTGTGTATCAATAAAAAATTTTTTTCATCAATTTTAGCGTTTTTTTGCTTTCACCCTTCGTCCGCCGCGAGGCCCGTCCGCCCCCGTGCCGCCGTGGGGAGCGCGCGTTCCGCCGTCCGCCCCCGTGCCGCCGTGGGGAGAGCGCGTTCCGCCGTCCGCCGCGAGCCCCGTCCGCCGCGACCCGCCGTGGGGAGCGCCGCGAGTCCCGTCGCGAGCCGCCGTGGGGAGAGCCGCGAGTCCCGTCGCAAGCCGCCGTGGGGAGATACCAGAAAGAAAGAGCGTGTCGAGCAACGATACGGCGCTACTTGAGATTCGGGCTCGAATTGACGTTCGCTGCTATTCGAATGAGAACCTCCGCGATCGCTCTACG